GTCCGAGTTCCTCTCTGCCGAGGCAGAGAGTTGGACAGCTGAACAATCTATTCGACTGTTTCCCCAAGGCATTCTCTCTTGCTAATCTTACAGTAGGCGGAAGAGTCCAACATAGAGGAAGAACATCACAACACGAAACATTTCAGTTCTCAACATGAGTACAGCAAGGTGGAAATTAGTTTCTCAGTCTATTTAATCACTTCTTAGAATATTTTATGCGGTATACACGCATAGATGTGAAGAGAAGTTCACAGATCAATTAATCATTCCATACCTTGTTATCCAAACGAATCTATTAAATAGCATTCTTATTTATCTCCCAAAAGACAGTTTACTGATAATGTGAAGGTTTATGTTGAAGATATACAATCTTGTGCAATTCAATTGAAACAACAACATTAGTTTATTTTCTTTCAACCTACGGTCAGTTTTAGAACCACTCGATTGACAGGTTGTAATCGATTTCCATTTTTTTTTCTCAGATTTGGTCATTCGCAATGGTGTGCAGAAATATGAATCAGTTTTCGGGCTGAATGATGAAATTTCCTTAGCCTTGAAAAATATTGCGTTATCCATCACGCCCAGACATTATTGTCTCGACTGTCGATTAGTTGCCTTACGGCTATTGTCTGCGATGGACGTTACTCCAAAGAAAGCGTACAAAAGTTTTAACGCTGCACGAAAACACTGGCAAGCCTTACCAGTGAGCAAATCAAAGTACTATAGACTGGCCCGGAAAATCTCATGATTTAAATTCAATCGAGGATCAGCGGTCAATCTGCAAGAAATGACTTCATGGAAGATAAGTACTAACATGTCCACTGGGGGGATGTTTTATTGGTAAAAGTAAAAAGTAAATAATAACGGAATTATTCCTTTGGTTTCAGTTAATTAGCACGAGGGCATAGGTATTCATAGTTAAGATAAGAATGATCTGCGTCACAAATTCAGAATTCTCTACTAAGTATTAGATGAAAGAGGACTCAAGATAAAACTTTCCATACCAGAAATTATGATCTTGAGATGCGGGATGGCAAGTACACTGAATCAATCAGAAATTTCAGAATATGGATTTGATAAATAATATACCTATGTATGTATGTATCAGTTAAAAGAAATTATCAGTTATAAAAAATTATAAAAGATAAAGAAATTGAACTGGAGTTCGTCTTATTTATCATTCGAAGATGTTCAAAAACCAGAACTTTATCCTAAGAATTAAAACCATATTCTTAAAAATCCTCGTCAGATCGAGATATTCATGGGGTTGACATGCATGTAGTTTTTGTTATCTAGTACAGTTTTTATGAATGTATAGCGCCAGTCCACAAATTTCGAACTAGACCAGTCCTCTACAAGACCTACAAGACTCATTCGGTTTTAATCATAGATCTAAGGAAATGATTGAATTCAGTCAACAGTTTAGACATATCTGAACCGGTTGGACGCCATGCATAGCATCCATTAAGAATTTGTTCAGAAATTTAAAACCTGTTAATAGTATACAAGCGTTTTCTCAAATGAATGATTCAATCGAATGAGCCTCCTAGTTCTTGGATAGGACCGGTCTTCTTCGAACATTCTAGACTGGCGCTACAGAATCACAAAGAAGTGCACTAGATAAGATAAACCACATTAGTTGTGGATTTCCAAGAGCAGCCGTCCCGGGTAAGACGATGAACTACCTCCAGCAGCAAGGCCTCTGATCAGGAGGTTTGGAGGAGCGTGGAACCAGCTCTTAATTGCTGGTGTTCCCAGGTCCATCCTGACCCAGGGTGGTAGCACCTGCTAGGGTTCTAGCTATGGGCAAATAGTTAACTATTACCAGCGATATTTTTTTGAAAAAAAATATTACCAGCAATACAATTTTGAAGGAAAATTCTTATCAGAAAAAGATTTTTGACGAAACAAAATATTACCATCAATAAAAATTTTTGTTGGCATTAAATAACCCATTGAGGTTGATATGCCGTAAAACAAAATAAAGCAAACCAATCTAAACCAAAGAATACATATTCTATTCATACGAATCTATCCTAAAAATGTTGTCGGCATTAAATAACCCATTGAGGTTGATATGCCGTAAAACAAAATAAATCAAACCAAACCAAGAGCAGCAACAACTAAAATAGGTAAACACTGGTTCCTTGAAGAGAAAATAATCAAGCATGATCAAGATGTTGATTTGCAACCCTACTACGAGGAAAAGGTTAGGATTTGAAGCTCTCATCACTAATGAAAATTGCAATAACAGTGGACATGATGAACATATTTTCCTGAAAAATCGTTCTTAGAGAAAATTGGAAGTAGCACCTTCTGGCTGGTCAATGAATGCTGAATATTTCCTCATAAGAAAACGGCTAGTATTACCATTAGAAATTAGAGATTAAGCGAACAGATATTGCACATTGCCTCCAGGCGGAATGGCCAGTGAATGAAGAAAAAACTTAGCACTGACTGCACGATTAATGGATGCCAAATATATTTTTCTTAATAAGAAAGAGGGTAATATTACCATTATCATTAGAAATGAGAACAGATTATACACTTTGATCCCAACCAAAATGACAGGGAAAGAACACAATCGTAATTCTGCTTGGTCAAAATCTATCGAATATTTCCTTATAATATAACAGCTTATCTTATCATTACCATTAGGGTTAGAGATACCAAAGTACTAAATTTTGGACACAGCCTGATGGCATACGAGAGAAAAATGAGTAAGTCGAGAAACACTGACCGATCGACCAATGTAACCGAAAATTTCCTTACAAGGAAATGTCTAAATGCCATGAAAGAAAATGAGAACAGGTACTCTGTTGTGTGCCATGCGTGAAACACTCTTCGATATATAACCGAAGAGGCAGATTTTTTCCCGCAGTAGGCTGCCATTTCTTTCTGCGGTAGACCACTTGCTATCAAAGGCTATAGAACCCGGCTTCTCCTGCTACTTATCCATAGCTTGGGGAGAAGAAGAGGATTGATACTTTTCTCAATGGTATTATCACGTAAGTGAATGTAATGGATTCGACTGGAAAGTCAGTCAGTCAGTTATGAGCCGTGCATAATACACGCTTAGGCGATCATGTATCTTTCGATACATGACTGACGAGGCACATTTTTGCGCACAGTAGGTTCCCATTTCTTTCTCTTGCCATCCTAGGCTACAGAATGGTCTGTTCTGTTATGTACCTATAGCTGGCGGAAGGGAGAAGAAGAGGTTTGATACCTTTCCCAAGGGGATTATCACGTAAGTGAATGTAATGGATTCGACTGGAAAGGCAGTCAGTCAGTTATGTGCCATCCGTGATACACACTTAGGCGATCGTGCATCTTTCGATACATGACCGAAGAGACGGATTTTTTCCCGAAATTTGTTGCCATTTCGTTCTGCAGTAGACCACTTGCTATCAAAGGCTATAGAACCCTGTTTCTACTGCTATTTACCCATAGCTGGGGGGAAAGGAAGTGGATTCATACCTTTTCCAAGGGTGTTAGCATGTAAGTGAATGCAATGGATTCGAGTGGAAAATCAGCCATTCTGTTATGTGCCATGCGTAAAATACGCTTAGCCGATCATATAGATTTCGATATATGACCGACGTAGCAGATTTTTTTCCCGCAGTAGGTTACCATTTCTTTCTGCGGTAGACAAGTTGCCATCAAAGGCTATAGAAACCCGGTCTGCCTTGCTATTTGCCCATAGCTGAGGGGATAAGAAGAGGATTCATATCTTTCCCTTGGGTATTAGCACGTAAGTGAATGTAATGGATTTGAACAGAATTCGAACTCGACTCTCCTATTCCGCAATCCGAGCCGCTATCCATTACTCCACCGTACACTTGTTATTTAATGACCCCGACCCACTAGTGCCATAAGGTGGGCAGCCGAAGCGCGTACGCATATGCTAAGACCACAAATATCACCGTCCTCGAAAACAACGTAATGCTGGCGCTAATATTCAACCGGCGATCCATCTTTGGTGCAATGGGGAAGGTGATACCACAAGTTTCGAATCCCCGGTACAAGACGTTAGTATCAATATCTGGCAGGATGTGACACAAATTCAGGTTTAATGTCGGCAGCCCGAACGCGTGCAAAAATAACCCCGTCCCTGAAACCGTCGACTGAGCTGGGATATTCGTTTACTACCGATTCCCCGTCTTTACTGTAATGATGGAGATACTGCCGCGGGAAAATGTTTCCAGGGACCCGTCATCTATGAATAATAATTTCATTTGCGCTCTGACCGAAGACGAAGACACACCTGAGTTGCTCTCTGCCGGAAAACGGAAACACAACTGATAAATAAAATGTAGTTTGTCCACACGAAGGCACACACTACACTTTGATCTGATAGCCAAGGATTGGAAAATGCGTACTTCTAGTATTACTGGCTATTCGGTTAATACGTACCAGAAAGTTTCCTGGTAAGAAAGCAGCTAATATTACCATTGACTAAAACCTGCTCCATTATACTACCATCCCTTGTATGTTCCACCACATTAGAAGATGCTCAAATCCATTTCTGAGAGTGCAGTTTAACTACAACCAAATTCTCTCTCTAAATTTGCTTACACTCTCTATAATTATCCATTCTCATTCACCAAATAAAGAAAAAAACATAGAAAAAAAAGAAAGAAAGAATAAAGCCGAAAGAAAGAAAGATAGAAATAAAGAACAAACGTGAAAAGAGATGAACAAAGGAAAAAGTAAACTCAAAGAAAGAAAGAAAGAAAGAAAGAAAGAAAGAAAAAGAAAATTTGCTTACGCTCTCTATAATTATCCATTTTCATTCAACTCCTCAAGCCATTCTGTCTCGTTTCTTCGATTAACAACAATATACCTGTCCGCACAAGTCTTTTCTCTACCCACCTACTAGATTTTTCTATTCCTATGCCCAGCAGTTCTCTTTTTCACTTCATCCCCACTCTTATCCATTTTATCTTTATTACAACTATACTCGCTTGTTAATCTCCGCCACCGGCCTCCATTTTCTCATGTTCCCGAACATCGCCAAACATCCCGTAACTTGTTTGCCCCTATCTTTGCGTACATTCCAACATGTTCACATTCCGTTATCACTGAAATACGCCGTTGTTCACCCCTACCTGCATTCTTCCCCTAACCTCTTTCAAGATCCACCCTTATTTCACTCACTTCCCTCACACTGACCACCTTGCCCCAACAAACTCTACCCCTCCACAAATACAGCCCCACTGCCAATCACCCATGTCCTATCCATCACCTTCAACCTTACAACCCTGTTCGCCCGACCCCCTATTCCAAACTTTGTATTCGATTACGGAACAAGACAGCAATTAACGGCCAAAATCCAATTCTACCCAGCCTCGTGTCATTGCTTTTCAGCCGGGGACGCCATTTTGCCGTTCACGTGACCTACATTGATTCCTGTTTTCTTTTGCGGCCGACTGGTTTACAATTGGTTTTAATTTGTATTTGATCCAACCAGTTTGGATTCAAATATAGACTCGCTTTTCAAAATACGCCGTTTAAGCGGACAAACTTAAAACTTTCTATTTTGTTTTCCTTTCACTGTCTTCAAGACCTCAACCTTCATGTTCTTCCCCTTTATCCTCTTCGGCTTTCTGCCTTTCTTTCTTTCTTTCTTTTGGCTTACTTTCCTTTTTCAGTTCACTTTCTGTCTAACTATCTATTTATCTATCTAGCTAACGAGCTAGGTTTGTTTGGGTTTTTTTGTGGGAGGGGGTGACATTCTTCGTTTAATTTTATATTGGTTCTTCTCAAATTTATTTATTTGGGTATCCACTGCCTTTCTTTCATGTATTTCTTTCTGTCTTTGTGAGTCACTATTTTCTTCCATCCTCTCTTTTCACCTTCTTTCTTTCTTTCTTTCTTTCTTTCTTTGTATTTACTTTTTTCTTTCTTCCTCTCTTTTCACGTTTTTTCTTTGTTTCCATATTTTTGTCTCCCGGCTTAATTTATTCTTTCTCCTCTCTTTTCACGTTGTTTCATCCTTCCTTTCTTTCACGTTCTTTCTTTCTTTCTTTCTTTTCTTTATTTCTTTCTTTCTTTCTTTCTTTCTTTGGGCTTATTTTTTCTTTCCTCCTCTCTTTTCCAGTGCTTTCTTTCTTTCTTTCTTTCTTTCTTTCTTTCTTTTCTTTCTTTCTTTCTTTCTTTTGGGTTTACTGTTTCCTTTCTTTCTCTCTTTCACGTTCTTTCTTTCTTTTTTCTTTTATTATTCTTTCTCTCTTTCTTTCTTTGGGTTTACTTTTTTTTTTTTCATCTCTTTTCACGTTTTTCTTTCTTTCTTTCTTTCTTTCTTTCTTTCTTTCTTTCTTTCTTTCTTTCTTTGGGTCTAGTTTTTCTTTCCTCCTCTCTTTTCCAGTGCTTTCTTTCTTTCTTTCTTTTTTTCTTTCTTTCTTTCTTTCTTTCTTTCTTTCTTTGTATTTATTTTTTTCTTTCTTCCTCTCTTTTCACGTTTTTTCTTTGTTTCCATATTTTTGTCTCCCGGCTTAATTTATTCTTTCTCCTCTCTTTTCACGTTGTTTCATCCTTTTTTCTTTCTTTCTTTTCTTTCTTTCTTTCTTTTTTTTTTCTTTCTTTTCTTTTTTTTCTTTCCTTTCTCTTTCCAGTGTTTTCTTTCTTTTCTTTCTTTTTTCTTTCTTTCTTTTCTTTTTTTGGGTTTTTCATTATTTCTTTCTCTTTCTTATTCTTTCTCTTTTTTTCTTTTGTTTACTTTTTTTTTCTTTTCTTCATCTCTTTTCACGTTTTTTTTCTTTCTTTCTTTTTTTTTCTTTCTTTCTTTTTTCTTTTTTCTTTTTGGGCTTTTTTCTTTCCTCCTCTTTTTTCCAGTGCTTTCTTTCTTTCTTTCTTTCTTTCTTTCTTTTCTTTCTTTTCTTTCTTTCTTTCTTTTGGGTTTACTGTTTTCTTTCTTTCTCTCTTTTCACGTTCTTTTTTTCTTTTCTTTCTTTCATCCTTCTTTCTCTCTTTCTTTCGTTGGGTTTACTTTTTTTCTTTCTTCATCTCTTTTCGCCGACGTTTTTGTGGGGTATATATTTCTTTCTCTTCTTTTCTTTCTCTCTCTTATCTTATGTTTCTTGCTTTCTTTTTGTCTTTCTTTCTTTTCCTCACTTACGCAATGATTTATCTTTTCTGGCCCGATTGTTCCGTTTATTAATATTTTCTCAGCTTGTATTCATTATCTCCTCATTTTTTCCTGGCAATGTTCTGGGAGATATGACTCTCAGGCTTATTTAAATAACAAATATCTGTCGCTGTCATAGTACGCTGTTCTTTTTCCCATCTCTTGAGTTCAAAAAGCAAACATGAGTCTGCACCAGAAAGGCAGACATAGGTCCGACAGGCACGAAAATAATGAAAAAAAAAAAGACTGGCATATTTTAGATTCCCCTAGCACTGAAAACATTGAGAAGGCTGTACGATGTCGTTAGAGCAGAAACAGTTTATATACAGAAATGCATTAGTGCTGTGTTAACCTTGGGATATAGAGAGCCACAGCCTCACCACGCAATAGCTGCTGCTTCGGCACGCAAGCTTTTGCTTCTTGATCTCCTTAATAAGTAAGTTTTGTGCGATGGAATTGCAAGCCCTACGCTCTAAAGGTTTTGAATTCAGATTTGTTATTTTACTCAATTAGTTGCCAATTAAAGTTAGCTTTATCTGCCCATTAACAATCGCCTGTTATGAAATATATATGCGTTCATACTTTTGCCAGAGTATTTATGTGAACCAGCTCAGGTAGCATTTGAATGCGACAGACCTATGCTACTTTCCGCAGCGTAATCGCTACGCTACCCAGATTTTGCAATGAACGGGTTGTGTACTAGAAAATCGGGGAGCCGAGTTCAAATTCCAGCTGGGCTTGTTTCATTCATCTACGCGCTATTATCACTGGGGAATCTTCTCCCATCAGCTTTGGGTTAAATACTTAGGCACGGTGGAGTAATGGATAGCGGCTCGGATTGAGGTATCGCAGAGCCGAGTTCGAATTCAGGTCGAATCAATTACATTCACTTATGTGCTAATACCCTTGGGAAAGATATGAATCCTCCTCTTCTTCCTCCCAGCTATGGGTAAAATAGCAGGATATTTCCTTGGATGGCAACTGGTCTACCGCAGAAAGAAATGGCAACCTACTGCTGGAAAAAAATTCTTCCTCGTCAGTCATGTATCGAAAGATACATGATCGCCAAAATGTGTATCATGTATGGTATATAACTGATTGATTTACATGTATATGTGAAAAAAAATCAGTGCCATTCTTAAAAATTGTTAATGTAATATTCACACACCAAACAAGTAATTGTTCTTAACGCATTCTAACAATCCATATATATTTCGGGTTTAAATAATCAACAAAAAATTGAAAATCCATAAAAATGAAATTAGTCAGACAACAAGAAAATGACTAAATGCGCCCTAAATTTCTTTCTACCTCGGATGTAAGAATCAACAAAACAATATGCAAACTTTTAGTAGTTTTTCGTTTTAGTTTTTCCTTCCGTTCGCAGGGAGACACAGTCGTCTGTCGGCGGCAAGGCGAGTGGCCTGGAGGAGAGATATCTCGTGGGCTCTGAGATCGTCTGCCACTGAGTCGCTCCAGCGTCTTCCTGGTCTGAGTTGCCACGCTCCAGCCAGTGTACTTGAGGTTGTATGCTAGTAGGGCTGCTTGGGTGATAGACATACGAGTGAGGTGTCCGAACGACTTGATCTTCCGTCGTTCGATGTGTTGTATGATTCGTATTGTTCCTACCATATTTCTTATTGCCTCATTCCTGACCCTGTCTCGCCTTGTCTTGTTCACTGCTTTCCTCAGTCATTTCATCTCACAAGTGATCAGTTTCCTCTCAAGGGTTCTTGTTAGAGGCCATATCTGGCACTGGTATGTCAGCGTCGGTAGGGAAATAGCAAGATGGGATTTTTCGTGGTGCTCATGAAAATGCTAGGATGTTTTAGAAGTGGAACAAATTTGCAACTGACTGCGCTGGATTTCTGATATCTGGCTTCGATTTCTCTGTCTAGTTTGCCGTTTTCAGTAAAGATGCTACCCAGATATCAGAATTCACTGGTTAGATTAAGCTGGGTCCCATTGATGTTAATGTTCAGTTTTTCTGGTCTCTTGCTGACGATCATGACTTCGGTCCTACTGACACTTCATGTCGTGTTTCTCGTAGCTTCAGATGAGTTGGTCAGTGTGTTGCTGCAGTTGGCCTCTGTCGTTGTTCATCATTGCCTGGTCGTCGTCGAACATGAGTTTGTTGTGTGCCTCGGGGTCTGTATTGGCCTCCTTTGTAATCTGGTTCATGTAGATCAAGAAGAGAGATCTGAGCCTTGCGTAACCCCAGATGTTAATGGAAACCAATTAGACGTTCCACTTGCCATGTGGACTTGCGCACCAGCTGTTAGTGTAAATAGTCCAGATGTTGTCTAGCAGTTGCTTTCCCCCAAAGCCCAACCCCTCGTCCTCTTCGTGGGAGGTGGAAACAGGTAATGCTGGCCAACGGGGCATTGGTGAAGCTATGACTGGTTTAGCAGGCCAAGACGGGAAACAAAAAAGAGATATGCAAACTTTGAACATTTGAAAATTGTGCAACGTCTCCAATGGTATCCTCGGCGCTATTTTTTGGTTGACTATTTTTAAGCATTTCATAAACCTAACCCCAACTCTAACCCTAACCCCAAGCAAGGCGGGAGTCCAACTAGCACGCAGTGAATTACATAGAGGGAAATTAAGGGGAAAGACTGTGTATAGGGGAGAATGGGAAAAGGATAAAAGAAAAACATGGATCAAGGCAATAGAATATGGCGATTCACGTTCATTTAAATTTTTAAGATCGTAGTTATCAGGGAAGCAATTCAGAGGAAAATGCTACTAATGTCAGCTGAATTCAAGCAGATTTTTTACTAAAGTTCACCCGATACAAGGCTCAAAAGCTACTCAAGGAAGAGAGTCACTGTTAAAATAATAATACTCAATGTGGTATGGTATGAATGAAATAACGTGTGAGGAAATTCAGATTATGAGAAAAAGTAGAATAGACAATAGTCATTGGTCGTGAAGAATTTAAGATTTAGTATTTCGGGAAGAACAGCCTTAGTACTGTGCATCCCAATGTGTGAGATATGGCGGGAGGTAAGGAGCTTTTTTCTTAAATGTGGAATTCGGTGGAGATGAGAACGAATCGAACTAGAATAAACTTTCTTACTGTAAAGGTAATGAAATTAAAGAATGGATAACAGTCGAAGAGTAAAAGCATCGTAATAAGCTCGCGACGTTTCGACCTTTGGGTAGCGTCTGTAGAGTTAGGAATTAGCCTTAGACGATTTTGTAATCTGTCAAGGCGGCAACGCGTTTGTTAAACATCTCCAGCCTAGATAAAGTCCATGTTTGGCATAAAGTTACTCTCGTATACAGAAAGAGTCAGCTGCTTCTGGGATCGATAGAAGGAACCGATTATTTTTCCACCTTATTCACCAATGGATCTTATATATGATTTCCCCTTGAGTTTTCAATGACAAGAAATAATTAACCCAATTACGTATTTACATTCATTCAGCATTCACGCAGTTTCGGGTCTATTGTTCGAGATTCAACTTAATATCAACTATCAATATTCTCATTATCTGAATATATTGTACTCATTTTAATGTCTTAATCGCTGTGATTCTATTATGGGTTTTTAGTTCAACCAGCCTCATTACAAGTCTCTCCGAAAACATTTCAAGCGCGCCGATAAAAAAAACAAAAAACAAACAAAACACAAAAAAGAATAAATCTTGAACATCCATGTAAATTTCTCCAGTTTGCATGTAAGGTCTATGTAAATTTTTTCATCTTATCTTTTTTTGTTGAGATCAGATGTCCTCTAATATCATAGAAATCTTTTTGCACAGAATAATAACTGACTCTGAATGTGGCCTAGTTTCGGTAATGCGTTTGTAAATTGAAAGTGCATTGATTTTTAATGTGTTATAGATTCGAATAGCTTATGGCATTGTTTCTCAAACTTTTTAAGCAATGGCTCACCTAAGAGCAAAAGAAAATATCACTTGGCAAAACTTTTACAGTATATACATTTAAATATTATGAAATAAAACAGTATTTTTTTTTTAAATACACACACAAATATAAAATTACTTTATTTTAATGTTTCTATTCAACTATTTGTGCGGCTTATTTAGTGTGAAACTTGTGCCTGGTGGTTATTTTTGTATTTTTATTTTTTTATTTTTTTTTGAGATTTCTTCAATATTTGGTGAAAGGTGCGATAAGCAGACCCTCATTTATTTTTCAGTTGAGCGTAGTTTTTCTCGCTTTTTATTTTTGATCTTATTTAGGGTTGAGAAGCCTCATAAATAAGAAATAGAAAATTACAGTAAAACTGATAAAGCCATTTTAGATAATGTGGGATATTTCTTTCGTATTGAAATCAAAAATGTATCAATGAATATCTCAATAGAAATGGTGGCCAATTCTTCTTCACATAACTGAAGTACAATATTAGAAAGAAAATTTATGAAGTGATATCGAATCCGATCCCCAAAATGGACGAAAATATTTTATGTAAAGAACACATGGAATTTATCTGCTCTCCATTTCAAATTACGGGTGTACGAACGTGCAATAAAATATTACTATGAAAAAAACAAAACAATTTTAGTACAAATAATGGCATTTTCTTTTTATACAAATTTTAGTGTAATATGCTTTAAAAAATGGAAAATTAATGCTCAACGCTGGATATCGGAAACTTCGACAATATTAATTGATAATATAATATAATTTTGTAAAAATAAGAATTAAACAAAGAAACTTGAATACAACTACATAAAAAAGGGTAATAATCATATATTCAAATAAAGGAAAAAATGCAAAATTAAGAAATAAAAATAGTTTTTAAAAAATCAATATTGAAAAAGTATTTCAAATAATATAATCGAAGAATAGTGAAAAGAATTATATGAAAAAAGTTAATTCAAATACTAATGCTGTAGCATTTCTACTTCTAAACACACACACACACACACACACACACACACACACACACATATATATATATTTTCAGTTCTTATTAATGTTAACTCAAACTACAAAGTTTGAATTGTCTGTATGTAAAATATTTCAAATAAAGATTTATATTTAATCTTTTTTTTTTT